GGGTAACATAGACTGGCTTGGAAGTTAATATAAAATTACCATATATAACATATTTATGTTTGACAGCCTATTTATGTTTTTTCTTTATGTTTCATAATCTACAGTCTTATATATGGTAATTTTAACTTAATATCCAAGCCAGTCAATATTACCCCATCAGGGCTGCCATTAGGTAGTCCCATTTCCCTCATTATGGGGTGGTGCCCCCCATTTGCAAACTATGACACTTTCCTCAAGTTTGTCATTTGCATATGTAACTAGAAGAGTTCTACTACAATGCACCAAAACCTGGAGTTATTTGGAGTTATTTTACCAAAAAAAATGATTGATTTTACCACCCGGTCTAAGTTACCCCAAGAGCTGGGGTAACAAAGACCATCACTTTTTTTGAAATTACATAAAGACTATGAGAGGCAGGAGCCAGCAATTTATGGTGAGTGAAGCTAGAGTATATACCTGTATTTTGCATGTTTCAATTCAAGTTTAATTTAGCTAGTAAGAAAATGGCATCATTTATAAGAAAAAAAGTGGTCTAAGTTACCCCATTTTACGGTATTCTACCTCTACATCATCTACAATGAAAGAGGAGGACTTCAGAGTACTGTTAGTAATGGATGAGTACACTCTGCAATTTTGTCTGCATGCTTCAAATGTTTTAAAATGAAGTTTTATTCCAAGTGTCCCGAGTAGCCCCATTCGACAGGGCTTCTCGGGACACTCTTTTTTTGCTTCTGTCACCTTACGAATAGCATATGGAATTTTTTTGGAGAAGCCATGTGATTGCCCTTGCAAAGAGCTTTGAAATTAGCCTAAACTTGTTGATGAAATGTTTCATGGTAAGAAGTTATGAATGAAAAACGTTTGAAATCCTCCCAAGTAGCCCCCGATTGATGGTATAACTAATTAAGGATTATATTCTTCTATTTAATTAAATCAAATTTTAATACTTCTCAAAATAATATAGTTTTGTTATCTTTATTGCTACCGTGTTATTTGTTGCAAAAAATTTTAATTAATTATATTTTTTTCATTTCTAACAGATCAATCATGGACAAAATGTATGCCTGCACAATTTGCTATGAATTTTACAATGGCTGTAATAGAAAACCCCTCTCACTTCCTTGTGGGCATGTTTATTGCCATCCTTGCCTAAGTAAAATTGTTGAAAAGAGTCCCCGCATTTGCCCATCCTGCAGAAAGTTTTGGGCAGAAGAAATTAAGGATTTGCGTGTTATATATATGCTTATTAATGGTGAGCAAGAACCTGGCCTCAGTTCACAGGAAGCTGGTGAGCAGGAATCTGGCCTCAGTTCACAGGAAGCTGGTGCTGTCTCTTATACACATCTAGATGTGTATAAGAGACAGCTCTCCTAGTCGTCTCGTGACTTCCCTCCTAGTCATCTCGTGACTTCTCTCCTAGTCGTCCCGCGACTTCCCTCCTAGTCGTCTCGTGACTTCCCCCCTAGTCATCTCGTGACTTCCCTCCTAGTCATCCTGTGACTTCCCTTCTAATCGTTTCGTGACTTCCCTCCTAGTCGTTTCGTGACTTCCCTCCTAGTCATCTCGTGACTTCCCTCCTAGTCATCCTGTGACTTCCCTTCTAGTCGTTTCGTGACTTCCCTCCTAGTCGTCTCGTGACTTCCTTCCTAGTCGTCCCGCGACTTCCCTCCTAGTCTTCCGTGACTTCCTTCCTAGTCATCTCGGGCCTTACCTAACGCTATTTAATTAACATACCACTCACATGATCACTCTTTTTATTCCGTTTTATTATCGTCAGAACTGCTATTGTCTTCTTCTTGAATATGTCTTAATCTTCGGTTACATTTTATTTTCATAAAAATTGTTATTGTATTTTATTCAAATATGTCGCTAAGTTGGCTCGTTATGACTACAAGACTTCTAGCGCGTCAAGTACCCATAGGGAATTGGACAGAAAAAATATAATAAGATATCAACGTTTTTATTTATTGCTTTTGGTTTATTTTCATTTAGATTTTAGAGGCAAAAAAAAACATTTTTATGAAATGGACAAATAAGAAGTCTTTGGAGTAAGGGTTATGGTCAAGGTCTACAATTACGGAAACTAAATAAATTTAATACTGATTAAATTTTCTGAAAGTATACCTTAATCCATATTTTATTTTGGTATTTTAAGACAAGAACCAACGAAGAAATTGCGAAAGAAATTAAAGACAGGATATATTCTATGTGGCCATTTTAACTTCAGTAAATAGTTACTTGAAAGCCACCAATTACGTGAATTGAAAATGGATGCCAGTGCTTGATCTGAAATTATGAGTTTGATTAACTTTCGTCCAAGTTGAACTAACAAGTCGAATATTATTAATCATATGTACTAATCTCAGCTACAGGCTTCTAAATCGCGATTATTTTGCTTGAACCATTGCCAGCTGAGTCACTGATACTCTCTACAAAACATCTGCATTATGCAGATCCTATGGAGCTTGGGCATCCCACATCCCGACGACGTGATTGCTCCTCCCAAGCCTCGTTCCAAGGCCAAGAAGAACGACGCAAATCCCGACACTCGCAGCGTCTCGTCGCCGAATAAAGCGAACTGTTCAGCCCCTCGCGGTGGCGGTGGAGGTGGCCGGGTCGTGTGGTGCAGCAGCGGCGTGTACTCGTGGCGGGTGTTTGTTTACACGGTGCACAGTCTCGCTGTGTGCTTCTTCTGTTTGCTCTTCGTAAATGTGCAGGTAATTGGCTCTTGCTTTCCGTTACGTTTTACAGCGCTTTTTTGAAACCATCCATAGTAGTGTTCAGTATTACAGCTTGCTTGCATCAAGGTACAAATGGTACGAATTTATTTTTAAATGATATGACCAAAAAGATAGGATGGACCGGTGACACTGATTAAATAATTCAATGTATCATTTTGAATAGTTGAACGTTAGCTTGTTTTTTTCGGATTCTTGTGGATCTTGTGGTCTTTTTGTTAGGACGCAAAGAAATATACCGTGATGGTCATGTTAACAACGCCGTGGGTCGATTGTTCCTACGATAATCGTCACCAGATGTCTGTAATGGTAGCAAGGCTGTGCACTAAGTCTCTTGCATGGAAATTTTGTATGTTCTTACGATGCTTATTAAACTTTGTGGGTGTTGTTAAGGGTGGTAAAGCCATGTACTATTTCACTCTAAAAGGAAATGCCCCGTTCAGCGGCAACACTTTTTTTGCGGCTGAGGAGATAGCTTTTGGTCCGAATAACGGACTCTAGTACCTTAGTTGAAATTTTGTGATACTAATTCTGTTCTTAAGACACTAATGAAACTCACTAGGTGACGACACGTCTGGTGTGCTCGAGCTGCCCTGTGGTCTTTTGGTTCGCAGCTCATCTGATGACGCCCGACGACGTCCATCCCCGCTCTTCCAGGCCTTCCGCCAGCCGCGTCCGTCCTGAGCCCCTCGAGAACATGGACAAGATCTTCACTGTCGAACTCGTGTCTAAAATGCCTTCCAATTTCTGGGGTCAAATTGTTCTGAGTTACTTCCTTCTTTATTATTTCCTGGGGACTGTAATTTTTTCTAACTTTTTACCTTGGACGTAGACTGGTTGGTGAACATATCTTAGGCGACCGCGAGTCAAAAATGACTTTCAATTGATGAAGTTAGATTCTCACGAATGGCCTGCGTCTTTTGTCTTCTGACAAATTTTGTAGAGGTCGATATCTTTTTCCAGTCTCAACTATACTTCTCTAGTCAGTATTGTAATGATAATTGTACCTACGAATTACCCTGAGTTGGTACTTGCTACCAGCAACAGCCCCTGATTCGGAAATGAAAATGTTGAATCACAATATCTCTTTAACTTTTTATTAAAATAACACTCGAGTCAATCGATGCGAGACACGTTACCTACTACATGTGTTCTTCAGAATGCAAGCCATCCCAGCTAGCATTCCACTGCATTTTAATGTAAATTTTAACTGAAACCTAATTTCCAAAGCTTCTTTTCGCGGCCGCGTTCGATTAGTGGTACCGGTAACAGCCATGAGTAGATACACCGACGCCATTCTTGATTGATCCCGCACTTATGCTAGAATTGCTTAATTAATGTCACACTTGTATCAGAATTCCTTAATTAATGTCACGCTTGTAATAGAATTGCTTAATTAATGTCACACCTGTGCTAAAATTGCTTAATTAATCAAGCCTTTTAGCTAGAATTGCTTCATTTTTTTCCATTTCGATCTTATTTTGCGTTTCTAGAATTGCTGAATTAAAAAATTTACCCCCTGGCCCCTAAGATTCTACCACTCAGGAAGAACGTTTTTCTGTGCAATAAAAATTTGTATTCACTTATGAAAATGCTTACTAACAAACTGGCGCTCAAACTCGAACCTTCCGTAGGTATTTGCCTTGATTGAAGGGGTTTCACTCGTCCACAATTTTACTACCAGGGCTTTAATCGGAGCTATAATTTGTAGCTGGCTGAAAAGTAACTCATTACTAACCAAACCAACGCCTGTATTATTACCGCTGTGGTGAAATCGTATCACAATATGGCAAGTACTGTGTTCTCCTCTCCGATGTTCCTCCAACGCAACAGTCTTTTTCCTGCCACTGATGTCCTCGTTGTGACGTTGCCTTCTGTTCACCAAGAGTCCTTGCATTGTTTCCTGATATTTTCAAAGATTTCAGCTGCTATATTAATCTGGTTAATTTGATCTTCAATCCATATTTAAGAATTAGAGTCGTAGGTGATCTTATTTAAATTTAACTTTTATAAAACCATCACTAACACTTGTGTCTAAATCTCGAATTGGATTTTTCGTTATTGCTCAAAATTTTACCTTATATGAATATTAAAGCTAGAGATGTTCTTATTACGTTTCAGTTCACATTCCGTTCGTGCTTTCCTTTCATAACAAGATATAAGTTTTCAACTGATTGAGGTACTCGGTTGGCATTACTGTAGACTGGTAAGTTCCAATGGTTGCTGTCCACGAATAATATCTTTTTATCTGTAGTTTCTAGGTTAAGGCCAATTGATCTCAATGCTTTTGTTCGCAATGTGCTAGGCGATGCCTTTTGTCCAGGTTCTTACTTATCCTAGAACTAGTTAAATATTTGAAGAGCACGTTATTGTCCAGCTTGGATATCTCTAGTCTGATTTCTGCAATATTCATGCCTTTATTATAAGTATTCATGTACTCTTAGAGCGCCGTTACTTGCAATTTACTTTTTCCGTCATCATGGCTGCTCTTTTAGGCAGCGAAGCTTTAAGCTTAAGGCTATTTCGGTTGTTATGTGCATGCCCTTTTCATATGATGATACCGCTAATCAACTGAATTCTCCTATTAGCAGAGTGGAGACCGTATTCAGTACAGAGCAAAGTTCATATTCTAAAATCGAACGTTTGAATTGATATAAATTTTAGGAATAGTCACCTCGCAGTTTTTGTTTTCAAGTCATTCACGTGCATCTTTCATGCCGCTTACCTTGGTAGCTTAAAAGTTGTTTCTGGGTAGGGCTGTGTTGATGAGAACTGCTGCCTGCATATTATTGTGTCTGCTTAGGCTGCATTAAAGCTGATTGAATACGTCGAGTTTTGCTTTTCTGTAATGATCTTTCCGATGATACATGACAGCTCAATAGGCCACTACTCGCAGCTCATCACTCTGAAGCTAATCCCGGACAGTCATTCTGAACCTTCCAGCCCGCCACTCTGAACCTCCCAGACAGTCTTTCTGAACCTTCCAGCCCGTCACTCTGAACCTCCCAGACAGTCTTTCTGAACCTACCAGCCCATCACTGTAAACATCTCCGTCCGTCAAATTTTCATATTCATTTTTTTTATTAGATAGGACCGTACACCTTTTCACTCATTTTAGTGACCACGTATTTACTGAAGAACGATGTGAAAGACTTACTGTAACTCAGTCGAGCATTTCGTTTTTGAAAGTGCTTGCGGAAACTTTAAATATGTTCGGCGCACAAGGAAGTATGTTGCTATGAACAGACACTCGTGTGCATCAATGGCTCTGTGCACTAACAAGCTGATGAAAATGTATTTACCAGATTTACTTCACCTATATATCTGTTGTTCGGTTTTATATTACATATTTGAATTTAAACCATGTGTTCTCGCTTGTGCGTCGTTGACCGAAGATTCTTCGGTCAATAATTTTTTCAAAGCATGTGTAATTTTTCATAAAACTGCTCATATTCACGTATATTACTCTTAGTTTCCAGCGTGAGTTATGCTATCGCTTTTTCTGATGATCTTAAATAAACGATCCGCCATGCTTTCTGTAATCTGCCAGATCAAGTCAAAATTTTTGAAACACTGACCATTTTACTGGTCAAATACTGTACTTACTCCTCAGGAAAGGGGACCTTCAGGCTAGGCTTAAGAGCTGAAGTAGCTTATATGGATAATGGGCACTCCACGCTCTGCTGAATCCGCTGTGGCTCGACTGCGGCCTGGTCATGCTGGTTTGAACGCTCATTTGGCACTTATCAATGTGGCTACTCCTGGCTTTTCTCCTGGCGTGTAATGCAAAAGGCGCTTTAGATCATTTAATCATCCGCTGTACCCGCTTAATTGATCAACGAAGAGAGTTCCGTTAAAATTTTGGAGGATCAATTACTTTCTTGGAACTTTATCTCAGCTCTTGATGGGGGTGATTTCCTTCAAAAATTACGCATTGCTGCATTATTATCATCATTCTACAGTGCGATTCACCTAAACTTTCCGTTTTGTTTTTTGCGCCAAGCAGCCAGATGTTAAGTAAAAGGGCGGGGAGTATTTCAAATGAAAGGCAAGGGAATGAAGTAGTGTGGCCAGCTTAGTCAGTTCCCACTATGCAATTTTCAAATGAGCAGCGTGGGTTTGCTGTCGAAGCGTTCTTTTCTAATGGTCTTACCCATGTTTTAACTATTCCATGGTTGAACTAGTATGGTTCAACCATGAGCTAGTATAGTTCAACCATGGCCTTTTCATTATCGTAACTCGACGAGCATTCCGGATTCCGGAACCGGTCGGACATGTGAAGCTGGAATTCTGGTGGAGCATGTGAAGTGCCTCTTGACTTGAGCTTTGAGAATTCGCATCACGGATTCCGGTTCGAGCTGCAGTCGGTGACGGACGCTAGGTAACTTGCTCTGCGATTTCCTTGTACCTATTACCTAAAGGGGAGCGTCTGAGTGTTTTATGTAACTCGGTTATTTAGAGACGGATCACTTCGAAATTCGGTACACGTATGTAAAACAGAAATCTAAGACTTTTTTGTTCGTGTGAATTTTTCGAAAAAATGAAAGAAAACGTGAAATTCTTAGAAAACGGCCAATAAAATTGGGTAGGCTAATTACTGCTACTGTAGAGTGTAGGCCTACCTAGTAATCTATTCTATCTCCTCCTAGGGGCTAGGATTTTCAAGCTATGACATCAAAACACATATCATTCGATGCACAAATACCATATTCAAAAACTGATCTTTGTGGTTTTTGCAATTTTATATTTCTGTGGCCTGTGTCAGGCTGTGTGGGTGACACCGTGACACTGGGTGAGTGGGTGTGAGGGCATTTTTCATATTTTTTTTTATTTTGCCCCCTGCCACCGCCCCTTTTTTGATGGATAAAATTCAAACTATAACAAAATTAGAAAAATGACAAAAACCACTTTGTGGATCTTTCCTTTGCAAATCAAATTGTATAGGTATGTCTCATTGTTCATTGTTGTAGCTTCAAAACTGTAGGAGGAGATAGGTTTGCTGTGAGAGAGGTTTTCAGTTTTCAAACTTTTCAGTAAAGGCAAAAAACTGCCACATGCTATGTAAACAGTAAAGGCATGTAATGATGTAACATACTTAGCTTAGATACCAAAAGTAAGCATTACCTTGCTTCAAAATCAGTCAGACTCAGAGTCAGAGCCTCAGAGGTGCATAGGAGCTAGTCTGGAAAAGTCCTATTTTTGTCTGAAATATCGCGGCTCTAATATCATATAATTTCAGTAGGTATGAAATCTCGCGGCTCGAATGTCATAAATTTTTGTTTGATTAAAAAATCGCGGTTTGCACTTTGCAAACATGTCATTTCATAAAATTTTCAACTTCCGCAATCCGCATTGCTTTACCGTTNAAGCTGGTGAGCAGGAATCTGGCCTCAGTTCACAGGAAGCTGGTGAGCAGGAATCTGGCCTCAGTTCACAGGAAGCTGGTGAGCAGGAATCTGGCCTCAGTTCACAGGAAGCTGGTGAGCAGGAATCTGGCCTCAGTTCACAGGAAGCTGGTGAGCAGGAATCTGGCCTCAGTTCACAGGAAGCTGGTGAGCAGGAATCTGGCCTCAGTTCACAGGAAGCTGGTGAGCAGGAATCTGGCCTCAGTTCACAGGAAGCTGGTGAGCAGGAATCTGGCCTCAGTTCACAGGAAGCTGGTGAGCAGGAATCTGGCCTCAGTTCACAGGAAGCTGGTGAGCAGGAATCTGGCCTCAGTTCACAGGAAGCTGGTGAGCAGGAATCTGGCCTCAGTTCACAGGAAGCTGGTGAGCAGGAATCTGGCCTCAGTTCACAGGAAGCTGGTGAGCAGGAATCTGGCCTCAGTTCACAGGAAGCTGGTGAGCAGGAATCTGGCCTCAGTTCACAGGAAGCTGGTGAGCAGGAATCTGGCCTCAGTTCACAGGAAGCTGGTGAGCAGGAATCTGGCCTCAGTTCACAGGAAGCTGGTGAGCAGGAATCTGGCCTCAGTTCACAGGAAGCTGGTGAGCAGGAATCTGGCCTCAGTTCACAGGAAGCTGGTGAGCAGGAATTTAACTTCACTATCCAGGAATTTGATGATCAGGAACTTTATGACACTGAAGAAGACCCTTGGCAGATAAAGGGTGAAAATGAAGCACAGGAAGCCCTTGCAGACCTAGAGATCCACAACAGCCCTTCATTTATTGCTGGTAGAGTAGCTACTGTGACGTCCTCTACTGAAATGCCAATTCTGTGTTTATCAACCTTGCTGATTAAGCTGGCTGAGGCAGGCTTTACAATGTACCTGAACCTTGATGACTCCTTCTTTTCGAGAGAACTGCCTCCAATGGACTGTGAACGACTTGACCCTTTCCTCCAAGCGGGTCATGGGTGAGTAGGCAATAAGGTGGTGTAGGAATTTATTTGTATATTTTTTATTTATTCATATATTTATTTTTTCAATATGTCATATTTTTTAATTTTGCCATTTCTAAGTTGATCCAAGGAGGTATAATGGTTTTGAATGATTTTTGACTCATGTAATACATTGTAATGTTAAAGTTATTCACCCTTTTTCAATTATATTTTATATAGAAATGTACTCCAAAAATGATTCAGCTGAACTTTTTTTTATTTGAAATAGACTCCATATTTATTCTAAGATGTTTTCCATGATGTGAGAATAATTGAGTTCACTGAATGCTCATTTTGAATTTTCACATGTAGGTAGGCAGCTTCACAAGACTTGCTGATTGTTGTATGAAATTGTTTTTAATATTCTTTATGTAATATGCTTTCATGAAGATCTTATATCATTTATAACCTGCCAAGATTAGTAGCTTATGGTGAAAACTTCATTTAATGAAGGTAGTAGAACACTGCACAATTACTATGCCAGTTTATATTATCCCTTGCACTCCAGGCACAAAATAATAGGCTCCTGCTGCACTTTATCTTCATCCCCAGAACTCTTGGCATAAACTAGTACAATTCTACTGTGCTTATGATATCTTCATCCCTCAAACTCTTGTCATAAACTAGTTGGCTTATACTGTGCTTATGTTATCTTCATCCCTCCAACTCTAGACATAAACTAGTAGGCTTCTACGGCCACGTTTCAGCTGCAACACTGCAGAAAATGACGGGACTGATAGTCCTCTGCCTGCGACTGGAGACGGCTGCAGATGTGGAGGCTCACTACTGGAGGGAAGAGTTGACAGGTGATATTGGTTCTACTGAGCATTGGTTTGATATGTTTTCATATCATGAATAATTGTGTAATAGCAGAGAGGGGCAGTGTGTTCAGCATGAATGGAATGGAATGTTATGATAGTGAGAGGCAGTGTTATGGGAGCAAGAAGTGGTGTCACGGGAGTGAAAACTTTTGTTATGTTATGAGAGTGAGAAGTGGTATTATGGGAGTGAAAAGCAGTTTTGTGGGAGTGAGAAGCGCTGTATTTTCAGTGAAAAGGGGTGTCATGGGCATTAGGTGGTATTGTGGGAGTGACAGGTGATGTTATGGGAGTGAGAGGTGGTGTTATGAGTGATGTTGGGGGTCAGCCTCTCTAAAGGTCAGTGGTCCGGCCGGTATAGTACCAGCTCATGAAACGGAGCAAAACAAACTCAGGGAAACAAATGGAGGAAGAACCAAACAAACATGTAGTATTAAATATAATTAGTGGTACATGAAGGTGAAAATTAGTTGGTTAGTAATGAGACAGCCCAGGGTTATGGGTGATGGGTGAACCTAGCATGAGAATATAAATAACCAGCAGCCCAAACTGGTTTGAACAGTAAAGAATAAATAAGGATACATGGTAAATAAACTAAACTGGGCCATTATAATGATCAGCAACGTAAACCAAACCAAAAAATGAAACCAAGGAATCAAGAGCTCAAAACAGGTCTTGGGTCAGGCCTGGTCCATCAAGTGGCGTCCGCACCAAAGAAACAAGAAGGCGGTGGACTTACTTGTGAGTAGCAGTAGGGTAGACTCAACTGGCGTGTTAGGGCAGTTCCTACATGAGCTGCTAGACAGGACTTGAAGGGGCATCCTTGCTGGTCTCTAGTGTCAGCTTGAGTAGCCCAAGACTCGTCTGCAATGTGTTTCAGTGATGATGATGATCACCATAATGTCACTTGACTGAGTGCCGCCCAGGCCCACCCCCCTCCGGAGCGCTGAGCTGGTCTTGCCACACTCTGATCAGTTGGGACACTTCCACTGGCTTATTCCATAGATCTTCAGGCTGCAGGCTGGTTGGAATTTCAGCACACCCAAACAGATGTTGTGTGTTGTGGGTGTGGTTTTGACACAGAGGGCATGATGGTGTAGGGTAATGAGCCTCATTGATCTTATTGAGGTATTCCCTAAGCATTGGGCATTTCCCCGCCCTTAACTGCGCCAATGTACGCCTCATGCCTCGGTCCAAAGTCCTCTCTATTTCGTTTACTTTAGGTGTAGGTGCATTTAGAATCTTGTTGGGTGTTCTCGACTCTAGGTAACTCTCGACCGCTGTGGTATGCAATGTCTTCATGTTTCTATTCACCTCCACGCTGCTATCACTGTTGTTGTTGTTGCAGTCATACACTTTTATGCTATACTCACTGTTGTATATGGTCTTTTTCATGAGTCTGATTGGCTCTTGATTCATCAGATTTTTCAGTGGGTGTTCTTCCAGTTTGCTCTTCTCCCTCAGTTGCGAGGCTGTCATCTGCACATGGTTCTTCAGAGGCAGGACAGATGTTTCGTCATGAAGATGTTGTGCGTTGGTGTTGCGTGTGTGTCCTGTGGCAATTCTCAGGGCAGAGTTCTGAACAGTTTGTATTTTCTGCCAGCCACTTTCCGATGTTATGGGACCCCATATACTACTTCCATACTCCAAAACTGGACGTATCAGCGCCTTGTTGGTTTGCACAATAGTCTCCGTGTCCTTTCCCCAGTCAGCTCCAGACAGGGCTTTTAATATGTTGATGTTTTTCTTCGCTTTGCTCACAGTGCTTCTTACATGTTCAGAGTAGGTCATCTTTGGATCAAAAGTCACTCCCAAGATTCTCGGATGTTTTTCCATTCCCAACGTTGTTCCTCTTAATGTGTTTGTCAGCCCAAAGCTTGCCTGACACTCGTCCAGAACTGGCATCAAACTAGCACAGAACTTGCTTCAAATTGGCCCAGAATATGCTCCACGTTGGCCGCTCTGCAAATATGCAGGAACACAAACACATAAAACCTATCCAACAAAAACATTTGAAACACATACATACACTTGAAACCCATATAAAAACATTGATCTATCTAATACAAAACTATAAAACAACTAAGGATGATTGATGTTACATACAAACATTTACTGATAACATTCAATAATTAAAATTTAGGACTGAGATGCATGGCAAGAGTATTCCCTTACCTATTTAAGAGCCAGGATAATATTAGTAGATCAGTGACAGGGCAGCAAGGAAGTCTTCATTGCCAGAAAGCAGGCTTACAGTAGGCAGTATGAGTGGTTGGCAAGTCAGTATAAGCACCAGATAAGCAGCACCATGGAAAATTGACTAACTCCAAAAACACTTATTCACATTACCATGCATTAATTTAACTTTAACTTGCGGTCACTTTATTAGTATTAAACACTGGGACACAAAAGAGAGAATTAATTGAAAACACTTAACACTTTGACTGCGACTCACAAAATAGCCTGTATTCCAGTGGTGTGACTCATTCAAACTTGAATAACTTAAGTTACAGACAAGGCAGCGAGATCAGGGCTAGTGCGCTGCTCTTGTCTGAGTGAGTTCTACAAGCTTCTGACATAAAAACCGTGAGCCTCTATTGGTGCACGTTGCCTGGGATGGAAACTTTCATCTTTCTAGGCAACGTGCGCCATATGAGGTACACGGCATTTATTATTCAACTACAATAAAAAATTTGCATCACACGGGTACTAATGCTTAAAAAAATGTTTTCTGTGCAAATGAAATCAGATTGTGACTGCAATAATCAAACTACAAATCATTCTGGGGTAAAATGCTGCTAAATGGGAAGTTTATAATTCATTTAGATGATTTCTTACAAAACTGCTCTAAGCAAAGCATGAAGTGGTCCCAACAACTGTTCAAGTTATTGGCAAAAACTGTAGCAAATGCCTGGGTGCTTAGTGATCAGTTAGTTCTATAGTCAGTAAGAATCGATGTGAATTGCTGAAGTTGTTGAAGATTACTGAATGTATTTTCACTAGTAATACAGTAGGTCAGACACTTGAAGAAATGTTTCTATAACCAAATCACAATGATTTTAGATGTTGGCGTTCCAGCTCTAAGGTATTTGAAGCTGAGGATCTGAACTTCATGCCATGACGAGCTACTGATCTGAGTCTTGCTTTAACATAATTGCAAAAAAAGGAAGTTAGTTGGTGCTAAAGTGAGACGAAAAGCTAGAAAAGTAACTATCAATTGCTAGCTCAGTACTCGGAATCTGTATCACTGTTTATCTTGCTTTTTACAGTGCCATTCTGTTTCTGTGTGAGCTTAGGCAACTTTCGAATGACTAATACTTATTTTTCTACTGCTATAATCCATACCAATACCGAAAAAATGATTTTCAACATATTGGAACAGGCTAGCCCCCTTTATTTAGTACTTTTTCTTTTTCGTACCCACTCATTATTTCAGGCTACATTCCAACTACTAAGATTCTTATGATTCGATTGCACGACGTTCATATAGGTTTTTGAAAACATTATTATCAATTATCCATCATATTTTTCACAAGTTTATGATCTGGCCGATATTTGAAAGAGCTTTTTTTAAAAAATTAAATTTTTTAAGCGTGCGCCATATATGGCGCACAATGCAGTTTGGGACATGCATGCATGTACCATATATGGTGCACGTTGCAGTCAAAGTGTTAATAAATCATTCATTTGCCTAAATGCAGCCCCCTAACAGTGAGAAGCAGTGTTATGGGAGTGAGAAGCTGCGTTATGAGAGAGAACCGTTGTTATAAATGTGAGAAGCGGTGTTATGAGAGTGAGAAACGGTGGAACCTGAGTGAGAAGCAGGGTTATGGGAGTGAGAAGCAGTGTTATGAGAGTGAGAAGCTGTGGTAGGGATGTTAGATGTGATATTATGGACCCGTACCTGGTACTCGACCTGTACCACCATCCTTTCCAATCCCAGGGAAATTTGTCACGTAACTCTCAACTGCCTAAAGAGACCTCCATACTCCTTCAGATTCACACCCTTCACTAGATTACATATCAAGAGCTTCCTCATTATTTACCTCCCTATCCAACCCCAGTCCAGAACTGGCACTCCATCTCTGGACTGGTGATGACCAGCTAGGCCACCCATCGCCACCATGCATATCCACCCCCCGTCACCTCACCATCCCCTCAGATTTCTCCCTATCAGCGTCCTCCTCCCCATCGTCAAATGACTCATCCTTCCTCCCCCAGCCCCTGAAAGTTTTCTCCTCCCTTCGAACACTTGTCATCAACTACGGTACCTTGTCACTTGTCATCAACTACCTTCTGATCTCACAGAACCAGACATCATAATGGGAAACGAAACCTGGCTTAAACCGGAAGATAACAGTTCAGAGTTCTTCCCTCCAACCTATAGTGTCTACCAACATGACAGGATATGAGGCCAAGGGTACGGAGGTTCTCCGGTTGCTGTGAAATCCACCCTCATCTCCCACGAAATACCGACCGGATCCACTGCCGAAGCCGTTCTTGTCTCTATCAAGACCGCCAAGAAGACGGAACCACTCATTGTCGGTTCTGTCTACCGCTCCCACTCCGAAATCAGCATAGAACAGATGGGCAAGATCCTTAGGACTATAGATTCAACCAAGACTGATAGCGTCTTGTGGCTGGGTGGTGACCTTAACCTCCCTGACATCGACTGGAACAACTCGAAAATTACAGGACACCAGAACCAGACAGCAGTAAACCAAGCTTTCATTGACAAGCTCTGTGACCGAGGCCTGCGCCAAGCCAACATCAAGCCTACCTACCTCGATCATTCTAACATTCTCGATCTCTTCATCACCAACAGACCTGGCCTAATTACCAAATGTACCACTGCCCCGCTGAGTGATCACGGCATCATCCTAGTTGACAGTACGAATGGACGATCAAGGCAACCAGAGTCAAACCAATAGTCAGGTCCGTGAGCATCTGGAAGAAAGCGAATTTTGATGCCATCAGAACTGAGACTGCGACATTTAGCGAGTCTATCTACCCATATTTCACAGTGGATCAAATGTGGCAAACGATCCAAGGCCACATAACAACCATGATTGAAAACACGTCCCGACCAAGTTATCCTCCCCCAAGAACCGCCAACCGTGGATCACCACGGAGCTGAAAAGGATTTCTCGTCGCAAATACAGGGCTTGGTGAAAGTCAAAGGCAACCAACAGGGAAGAAGACTTTGTGCGCTTCAAATAATTGAAGAAAGAAGCATGACGCACCAACAGGCAGTGCTACCAGCGGTACGTCAAGCGCTTTGTGGAAGAGGACAGAAGTAACAACCTCTGGCGTCTTGTCAGGAGCAAGCTATGCTACACGATGGGTGTCGCTCCCGTGAAGCTAGACGGACTAACGTACAGCGGCGGTGGGGCAGAGGCGGGCATCCTCAATGATCAATTTTCTAACGCCTTCACGAGAGAATATCTCTCCGACTTGCCAACCCCGGCCATCACTCGCACCCAAAAATTTCAGACATTTCCGTGCCCACCATTGGAGTCGGGAAACTTCCTTCCGGTTTAAACCCCAGGAAAGCCGCCGGGCCCGGACAAAATCCCATGTCGACTTCTCAGAGAGACGGCCGCTGAGCTAGCACCTGCACTGACGGCTCTCTTTAACAGATCGCTGTCCACAGGAGTCGTACCTGCCATCTGGAAGCATGCCCTGGTGCAGCCAGTATTCAAGAAGGAAGACCGTACACAGGCGGCCAATTACAGGCCCATTTCTTTGACCTGCGTGTGCTGTAAGCTTCTAGAGCATATCATCAGATCGGAGATCACAGACCACCTCGACCGCAACAGTATTCTCAGCGACGCGCAACATGGCTTCCAGAAGGGGAGGTCCTGTGAAACCCAGCTGATCATGACGGTGGAAGACCTTGCAGCTGAGGTCGACAGAGGTGGCCAGACCGACATGATCCTGCGCGATTTTTCCAAGGCCTTTGATAAGGTCCCTCATCAGCGCTTACTCACCAAGCTGGATTATTATGGTGCCATGGGCATAACCAAGAGATGGATATCCAGCTTCCTCTCAGGCCGCACCCAGCAAGTCGTTGTAGAAGGTGAGAGCTCCAGCATCGGGTCAGTCGTGTCAGGAGTGCCTCAAGGTTCCGTTTTGGGTCCTACCCTCTTCTTGATCTATATTCTATATCAACGGCCTATGTGACGGAATCCAAGCCAAGGTTGGACTCTTCGCAGACGACACCGTCCTTTACTCTCGCATCAGAAGCCCACATGACGTTGCTCTCCTGCAGGAAGACCTCAATAAGCTGGAAGCCTGGGAGCGCACTTGGCAGATGGCGTTCAACGTCGAGAAGTGCCACCTCCTTTCAGTAACAAGAAAGAGGTCTCCGATACCCTCCAGCTATACCCTGCATGGCCAAACACTGGAATCCGCCAGAGACACCAAGCACCTCGGTGTTACCATCACCAGCAACCTGCATTGGGGGAACCATGTGCGGTCTTGCAGCAAAAGCCACGACGATAAGCGCTTTCACCCACAGGAATATGAAACGATGCACCACGAACGTCCAGACCCACTGCTATAAGAGCATGCTTCGACCTATTCTGGAATATTCATGGTCCGTGTGGGACTCGCACCAGCAGGGCCTTGTGTCCACGCTGGAGGCAGTCCAGCGCAGATCCTCAAGACGTATCCTTGGGGACTTCAGCCCACACTCAAGCGCTTCATCGATGGTGTCAAAATTAGGCCTCGAGCCACTCGTGCAAAGAAGAGTAGCGGGCAGAGCCTGCATGATGTATAAAATCATGCATAAGCTGGTGGATATGAACGTCCCACCTGGCAGGCTTCAGCCCGCAGTCAGAATCACCAGAGGTCACCATCAGAAGCTCATAGTGCCGCGCGCAAGAACTGATGTATACCGCCATTCATTCTTCCCTTCCGGTACTAGACTACGGAACTCCCTCGCCCAGGAGACCGTGGCAGCTCCTGACCTGACTGCCTTCAAAGCAGCTAACTGGCAACAGCGAAAGGGACGGGACCCCATACTTATTCAATCTTAAACCTTTTGCTCTGTTCTTATGAATTGAATGCCTTATCTTATATATGTGCCAATGTATGTGTGTGTGCATGTATGTATATATGTGCGTATGAATGTATATGTATGTATGCACGTATATGTATATTTTTTTAATTCAATGGGGGTAACCACTTTTCTTCAATAAATAACTAAATAAATATGATGTGCGAGGCAGCATTATGGACTAAGGTTGGCATTATAAGGTTGCACCACAGCAGCGCCAGGTAGTCGCGTTCTATAGTGAAGTGGAAACTGACACGAGTGCGTTTCCTGCAGACGTCGCTGTGAGCAGGAATCTCAAGCCCGAGGACATCCAGCACCGCCCTGTGTCTTGTGACCAAATTCAGTGCGTGGAGCTGGAGGACAGCGAGGTGCCGTGGCTGATGGCGCTGGCTGTCAAGTTGTTTGCTTTGGAGCCACCGTATTGGTCAGTATGGGTCAAATTTTTTCGTTTAAATTAATTTGAAATTTTAAATTCATTTACCCGTATTGGGTCTTTAATAAGATGGGTTCACTGCTGGTTCAGCGCACTGTTGTTTACTTGGGAGTATAATGTTTTCCTCCATGCTTGAAGTAGTAGTCTCCAGCTGTTACACCATCAAACTTTAAGTAAATTGTGTAAAACGGTTTCAATATGAATAAAATGCAAACGCTTATGTTATCCAGGCATCTTCTTACGTGTGTAATACTCGTATTGTGAAATGTCCAGCAAAAAATTCTTTTGGCTGTGAAAAATTGCGCGATGTAAAATCCGAAGCTCGTAAAGCAAAGTGCGTGCAAATGCGCTAGATGCTCGATTTCCGTTGGCGGAAATGGCGATCTCCTTCTGAGGTAAAGGAACAGTCGCTGGTAATGAGGTGTGAGTGGATATTTCTTAAGATTGATAACAATGTCACTCCTGGTGTTTGAATTGTTTTCATGCACTATTTTCCATTTTTTTTAATTTATGATATGATTGGGATTTCTATTTTTAGGCCTCTGAGGCAATTTTTTAAAGCAATATTAGACCCTATCGTATTTTCGGTTTTGATTAATTGAATTTTGAGGTGTAATGTCTCTTTCTTTAACAATTTACCTTGTGGAAACGACTGTAACTTGATAATATACATGACCCTCTTCGATGTGTATAAAGATGCTTTGAAAACTATTTTCACGAATAGTCTTCAATAAATGCATACACAAAGAGCAAACTGCCGCTCGCCCATCGGCACGCGCAGAAAAACTAATGAGTCATACTGTCCAAATAGAGACACACTTTGTACACTTGGCACTAAAACGCTTTTTTGCCATGCCAAATTGGGTTAAGATGACCCACCCAAGGGCAAAAGTGTATCGCTATTTAGACAAAGTCTCACTCATTTCCCTGAGTGCGGGACAAAGAGCTCACGTATGACGTTTTTCAGGCGCAGTGAAAAGGTCGTCACCTTGCGGTCGTGTCGCCTCACGCAGCCAGGCCTGGCCCAGCTACTCGACGTTGGCATCGACGTATTGATCGTCGACTCCAGCGAGCTGCCGCTTGCTGCCATGCAGCAGCTGCATGCGCTTGCCGTCCAAAAGAACGTGGAACTGAAATTCTTAACTTTTAATTGAAGTTGATTTTGATTAACGAATCAGGAATCAGGATGTTTTAATTCCTGACATCCTGAATCACGCCGTGATTTCTTCTCTATTTCGTTAGTTTCCATCTTCGCTATTTAACAGCATCTATCACACTAATTTGAATAGAAGCAACTAAAAATATTTTGTTTGTGCCAAAGGTTTTCGTCCTCTTGATATTCTTTTACCTCTCAACTTTATTCACACGAGAGATTTTTTTTCTCTTGGTCTCATCATGCGTACCAACTTATTTTTTTGTTTTTAGATACTTTACAAATTCACGAATGCACCAGTAAAATGCTATTGATACGACTAATATTTAAATGATAAGCGTGGGATAGATGTGCTCAATATTGAAACATGCGATCGGAATCGAGTACGGGATTATATTAAAAAAAAACATCCTGACTGGGCATTCATTCAGCCGCCTCACGTGGCTTTTTCATTTTATTTCAGTTTGGCCTGGAGAAAATTTGTGTTCATTTTGGTACGAAAATTGTTGGTGATAAACATTTTGGAGCCGAGGAACTAGGATTGATCTGTTTTTTTTTTTTTTTTTTTTGTGATATCGATGAGATTTAAATCAAGCTTAGATTATACGCGCATTATTCCGTTCGAGCATCTTGTGTTTGCGTTATTTCTGGATGTATTTTTTTATTTTCATGTTAATCTGAGATTGTGTGGGTTTCTATGCAAAAATGTTTGCTAAATCCTCGTATAATTGTACCAGGAGTTTGCTATGATCTATAAATGGGCTACGTTATATGAGCTCTTTACGTTTGCAGCAGAACAATAGAGAATAAGTTAATTGTTTTCTGTGCCAAAGATAAGATTATTTTAAACTATGGTGTTATTATAATATCAAGGCTTGAAAGTACTCGAACAAGTTACACGCATGACCATGCGTTACTCTGCGAGGGATGGATATGTCCTGCTTCACGCATGACTAGGTTTTTTCTGCAAGTGATCTCTATTCTATTTTCTATTCAGTATGTTCAGTCTACTGTTCAGTAGCACTATCATCTTCACCGATGTGGCCGCAGCGATTACCGACCTGGTGCCTTACAAAGAAAGTTTATCTGTTTCGTACCAGATTCCATAAATCGTCCAGAGTTTCTCAATTTTTTTCAAACGAACTGGCAGATGAATTTCTTGAAAATGGAAAAGGCATTAGTTGAGGTTAAAAAACAAGTCTTATGACATTCAACGTTCATTCGTTTTCTATTCATGTTCATTGACATGGATATATTCTTTATAATAAATATGATTACAACCATGTACAAATTATTCGTAATTATAAGTAATCCTATCGTATGACACTCGAATTCTCTTAGCTTAGAAATAATATAAAAATTGCAGAATATGTTTGAGTCACTGACGGAGACATTGGGAAGACATTTGTACTCAGGGAATGAGTATGATTATTTATTGATTCAATCGCAGATAGAAAAGAATTATTATTTTCTCCATCATATTTAGCCATTTTTAATTGACGTTTTGGTTACTGTTGAGGATAATTAGAAAAAAATTACCAACAGTATTGAGCGAGTCACGAGAGCTTTGCATTCGGAAACAATCAGATTATATGCACTCATTATTTTTGGCGTTGATTAAAATAGGTTCATTCTGAGAAAAATACAACGCTTACTTGACGTAACATTAGTATGTTTTAATCTACTAAATGAGTTTCAAATTTTTTTTTAACTTAGAATAAGACTAGGTAATAGATCTTTGTAAGTAAAAATAAGGCCTACGAACGAAAAGCTGTTATCTTAATGATGGATCGTTGAAATTATTGAACGAAATATCTCGTTTGAAGCGAAACATTAACGCATTGAGCCATGGTTGAATTCAACCATGCATTGAGCGACCCGTGTTGGAAAAATGTCTGGATGTGATAGCAATCAGCACTAAAAATCGTGTAACTTAATGGTGCACGAGAGTGAAACGTACACATGTTGAATGAAAATCATTGGAATTTTTACTTTCATTTGCGATTGCGACGTAGGTCAAACCCAAATAATTCAGTCAATTTTCTCTGTTCTAATGCCGATTTTGCTGGCACAGTGAGCAATACACAACAGGAGCCGAAGTATCGATAGTAGTCTAACTATAAAACATTCCGATACTAGAAATAAGAAATTCGTGGCACTGGCTTGAAGAATATTCAAATGATACGAAGCCACACCTATCTGGCTTTCGTTTTGGTGTACGTGGGATGCGATGTAATTTTACAAAGTTACGAAATGCGATGTAATTACAAAACTTACATATTTGATCAGTTTGTTTTGCAGGTTGCAACAGCCGCTCATCGAAGTTTTATGTTGATTGATGCACTTTTTCTACATCTGAGCAATTGTTTTATTGACAACTGAAATTGATTATTTCTTGGCACTAAATCAATATACGTCAGCTTAAAATTATCGAATAGTTGTAGTAGTAGAATGGTTTGCTGGCGCTTCAGCTATCAAACTACATATTTCGGAAGGCGGAAGGTCGAAATTATTGAAAAATTTTCAAATTAATCATCACCCACAAGGGGCGGAAGGTTCCAGATGTCCAGCCCGCTGAAGCTGACTCGAAACAAGCAGCGTTAGCATCTCAAAGAGACGAAGTGACAAGGAGGGGCAGCCTGACAGGTGAAAAGTAACAGAAACTAAGACACTCGAACAAGAGGTCGCTTACACGGGACGTCGAGAGAGCAGAGAAATGTACGAGAGAGCAGAGAAATGTAAGGAATCCTATCTACATGAGAACCCCACAACTGCCCTGCCTACACGATAGCTAACCGCACAACTGCCCTGCCTACATGATAGCTTAACCCCACAACTGCCCTGCCTACATGATAGCTTAACCCCACAACTGACCTGCCTACATGATAGCTTAACCCCACAACTGCCCTGCCTACATGATGGCTTAACCGCACAACTGCCCTGCCTACATGATGGCTTAACCGCACAACTGCCCTGCCTACATGATGGCTTAACCGCACAACTGCCCTGCCTTAACCTCACAACTGAGACCCACAGTCAAATACTGCGAGCTCAGTGGTGGGACTCTCAGGCACAATGCCTCACGCATTATTCAATAAAAATTGTACATTACCTTATATCTCTGATTTGCGAATCAAAGCAGGAATTTTAGTAACTCTAGTTCCGAACATATTTACTATTAAATATCTATTTAATATTTGACATGTCACACTATCCTTCATGCACTACAGCACAATAGTCCGGATAGTTACAAACTAATTGTGCGCTTGCTGAGTAATTTAAGAATGCCAAAGTGATGCGTTTTCACCGTCTATCACTTCTCTACTTATCAGAGTACGAAATATTTTTATATGGCACGCTGCAGAGTGAATGGACATTTCTTCGGTATTGCGCCTTGCAACCCGACGTCACATGTTCATCGATAAAACTGTTACTACCGGAAAAAATAAAGCGTCTATGGAGCAAGTATTTACAGTAGACTAGGAAGAACACTTCAATAGCTGGAGTATTTTCTTAAAATCACTGTACGAGGCTTCAAACTGAAAAGCTTTTAAAATTTGATAAAGAGAAATACTTTATCAGGTAAAGACACCTTTCGTGAAAGAACGTAACTACCTTCAAACAATTTATTGCAATGAGATGGCACGAGTGTGGATGTCACATTGAAGTTCAACCAACTTTTTGAAAATCTCATTAGGCAACGCATTAAATTTCAGGGCGCGACACTTCATGAGTTGAAAGGAAATACAAAAAAAAAATTAATAAAACTGCTGGTCGTGCAGAATAATACAAATATCAACGTGGTAGAGTCAAACCTAGGGAGTAAGCGACTTCATCAACAGGAGTAGTTTAGTAGATTCTTCAATTAAAAAATATGAGTAGCAGTTTTAAGAGTGTAATGTGTGAAAAGTTCTATAAAGTGTATCAAGCTTGTTTAAATGAAACGGATATCTTGCAGGTCACAACGGAATAGCTTTCGTGTACAAGTTCATCATTTTCTATGCTAAACTTATTGACTCATGAAGCAGAATAAGTGACAGGGCTACATTAAATTGAAGACTAGTTAGCTTGAGTGCTATAAAAAAATATGGCTGTAGACACTTTTTACAACGATTAGTATAAACAAATGCCCCTAATTAAATGCTTATTAAACACACAGTATTATTTGTATAATCTAGATAATAATGACGAGATAAAATTTATTATGGTAAGTTTTTGTTGAGTTATTTTCCCGCAATTACTTTGGCGGGAAAATACTTACTCCCGCACTCCTAAATTCTTATTTTTGAAAGCATTTGATTAATTTTTGCACAGTTGATGGGTTCCTAATACTAAACTCGCGATATAACTAATGCAAGGAGTAACGATGTCTGAGTATATCGAAGCATAGAGCATCACACTCTCGTCGTAGTTTCAGGAGCCATCGAGGGCAAGGAATCGAAACTGACCGAAGGAGACTCGTTCGTCCCTGTGTACAAAAAATAATTGACTGATTTTCTCGCTCTTGGATACCATTTAAAATGAGACTCTCCGCCTCTCCATACTTTTCTTCCAATAATGTACAGAGTGATAATAAGGGCCAATCCTGGCAGAGTGAAGAGCAGAATTGCGAGAGGTTCAGATTTCCAAGTGGAACTGACACGCTCCAGTTCTATAAGCGGTGTACATGCTGGGAAAGTCATGTGTAGTGCGCTTGTGGCATTTTCTGCCGTCAAGAGCAAACTTTCTAGAGACTCCAGACTTTTGAACATAGAATGAGATGAATCGGGTGCTACACAAGCCATGTATTCACCTGGGTCGAGGTTTGTAAATATGTGTCGAGCTTCGCTGCAGTTCAACTGCCTGTACGCAGCTATTGTTCTCGATTTAATCACAACCAGAATGTAAGTACAAGGTGAATCAAAATAACTGATACGACTGTGAACAACTAAAACTCCTCCTTGACCACCCGCTGTTAAACTGTTGACTTCAATTGGGTTGGTTGAACCCTGAGGTGAGACCGACGAAGGTGCAACCAGAAGAAGCGGTTCAGAGCAACCTGGCAGGAAACCCTCCTGATCGCTGGTTCCGTACTCAAGCAAAACAAGACAATACCTATAAGTAGATCCAACTTGAAGGACGTTTTCCGGTATTGTAACGCTGACGCTTTCGGGATTACTTTGCGCCTGTGAACTGCAATTTGCGTCAACTTTTTCTGTGAGTAACTGATGCTTTTCATTTGAAACTTTGTGCATCTCGTAGATAAACACTGCTTCACATGCGTAAGGAAGGGCTTTCTCGTCCACTTTCCACACCAGTTGAAGTCCTGCATCTGTCCACCTAGACATCTGCAGAGAAATTTCCGCTTCTGACATCCGCATGCCCTGAGTTGCAGCGTCGTGATAGTAGTCGGAGTAGAAGTCTTGGTAGTCATGAAATGAACTGTCCTCGGCGCATTTCAGTTCCTCGGCCTCGAGCATCACCTGTCGTTAGATTTAGAATTAATCATAAATGAGAACAACAAAAACTATAATTGTAAAACTTTCCACAAACAAAATTATGATCGCAATATGTAATTGTGATGTAAGTTTCTCCGATATTAATAGGTTTGATGAGCCACGTAGGCCTATAGTTATATCATGGGCCATAAGATATTTCAAATTGAGTCACCTCTGTGAATAATTATGGAGTGAATTCTGTGACAAAATCTGATGAACGTTAATCTGTCATTCAATGTAAATAAGAGCACATTTCAAAAAAATGAAGGTAATAGTTAATATCTACTTGTTATTTGATTACATTTTAAAATATGTATTCATGTATGTCATTTCAGTAATTTTTAAATAATTTTTGCGTGATATCTCGTTTCAGTCTAAACACATTTTCATCATTGGCTTCGATACTGTGCTGACAAGACAGAAATGATTATTAGTTTCCGAAAACATTGATGAAATCATCAATATCATGCTTCCGATACCGCGTACGATAGTCAGTTGCGTGAGATTTCACAAAGAATTACAACATGCAAACGCAGTACCGAATTGTGAATAACTTCGCTTGAGAAGAATTTACATAATTTTTGGCTTTATAACTCACGAGCGGGGCGTTCTGTAGGTGCGGAGGAGTGGCACACGTTGCTGAACGCTTCTCTTCCAAGGACAGCGCCGCGTCACGCAACAGCCAGACTCTGAGCCACGATAGAGAACAGTCGCAGTGCAGCGGGTTGTCTGCGAAGTGAACAAATCAGAAGTATTCACAGTTTTCGGCAGAGCTCACAGTAGTTGTCGATGTTGAAATTACGTTGGGATCAACGTCACGTCATTCGGTTACTGCTCAAGCAATGCGGAATTAACAGTCTTGCGCACCAATTGATAGTAAGCCTTGACCCCTTAAGATCCCCCAGGTAATAAGTACTAAGAGTTCGTTTACTTACACACACCCAATGCCATGCTGAAAGCACCACCTACCTACGGCAACCTAGCCCCGCCCACCAGCGACACCGAAAAATGCACTGAGGTCCTCCCCAATGTTCGAACCCATGTCTAGCCCCTCTCATCTCTGTGCAGCCATCACTGCGCTACAGTGTTGCTAACTACTGTGCTACAGTAAATAAGTCGCCGTCAATGCCATCTAAGTCGCCACTGTGTAGGAACTGCACATAACTCGCCGCTCGTCACTTAAATGCGTATAATACTGGTCAATACTACGATTTGTAGGGTTCGAAAACCACATGATGACTACATAGCTGTTTTGATCGCGCTAGAAAGATGTGTATCATTTGTGTCTATGAAATAGAATAGATCGTTTGTATTGGCGGCCGGCGGCTTTAGCGCTGCTAGCTAGCGAGGTTATCGGCATCGACGGTCGTAACTCACACACTCGCTGAATAAATAAGTATTATAGGACACTCGTTCTGACAGAACTGGCGCTACTTATATGATGCTACACTAAATACTTCAGATCACGCAAATTTCATTGCAAATTATTAGTACAATACATCCATTACAAACTTCCAGTGTCAACATTCATTCCAAGAAACTCATATCAGTCGCCACCCACACTACCAATGCAAGAGACGAGACTGGTTGAGGTGCCCGGCCACCATTAAAGTGAGGAGGCAGTCAGGGCTTTGATGTGTTATAAGAAGGAATAAAGGGTGGATTTTTGTTCATTATTAACAATATTCATTCTGGTACTATTTAAAAAAGTCAGCTTTAAAAGTTTCTTAGGTATTTGCTTGAAATGACATATCAATTCAGACTTCAGAGTCCAATAAACTTCTTCAAATTAAAGATTCATATTATATGATGCCAACAAAATTACATAGACGATGACGAATCGGGTAAAATGTGGAGTCCAACCCTCAGAGATTATTGGCCTACCATCTCGTGACTTGCACGCTTTATAAAAAAAATTGGAATCTTACCGGTGAGACTAAGGTGCTGCAGATTTGGGGTGCTGTTGAAGGCGTGAGGCTGAAGAAAGGTAATATCGTTAGCACCGAGATCGAGGGTACTGAGAGACGGAAGCTTGTGCACCAGGTCTTCCGTCACGGCGAGAAGGGCGTTGTCGGCTAAACGCAGCGTCGTCAACTTAGGCACGTGAGCAAATGACCATCCCGATATCGCCACAACTCTGTTATGATTCAATATCAGTTCCTGCAACTTATTTAAGTGTTGCAATGCGTTATCTTCTATCACGTCAATTTGATTATGAGATAAATCCAGGACCTGAAGGTTTCCATAAGTGCTCAAAGCTCCTGTCGCTATTGATGTGAGAGCATTGCGTGACAGATCTAGGGACGTGATTGTCGGTGCCCCTGAAATGAACTTAGAGGTAATAGAACCCTTGAGCAAATTATTTTGCAGAGATAGTTCTCTTAATACGTGTAGGCCCCAAAGATTCCTTTCGCTTATTTGAACGGCGTCGAGTTTGTTGTCATTCAAATTTAAAGTTCTCATTTGTGGAAGCCTCACGAAAGCTTCCGGTTGAATGAGTCGTATTTTGTTGCCAGCCAAACTGAGGCTGTGTAGTTGTATTAAGGTTGGGAAGGCACGCGAGGGTAGCTCTTCCAGTTGATTTTCACTAAGATCTATTCTCTGCAAGCGTGTAAGTGTTTGCAATGCCTCAAAGGGTATTTTTGTTAAAGAATTAGAAGGAATAGCGAGAGCAGCTAAGGAACCTTCGAGGCCGCTGAAAGTTCTGACATTCAGGAAGCTAATTCCTGCAGAGGAGATGACGAGGCCTAATAACTGGAGGCCCTGGAAGACTGCATCTGGCAGAACTGACACGTGATGGATGGATAAGTCAAGAAGCGAGACTTGAGCACCAATGAGACTTTGGGTAAGCGCTGTGAGCACAGTGTTGTTGGTGGCGTTCCCTCTACACCTAAGCGTGTGCGGTAGGTCACAAATGCAAGACACATCTTCAAGGAAGTTCACTTCTGGACACGACCAGCTTTTGTTTCCAATTTCACCCGATACGTTGAACAGCCGCATGGTTGATGGTGAGGTCTGATTGGCAAAACTATGGGGCGAGTCCTCGGCGGCAGTGAGCGGCACTCTTACCACCTCCAGGCTCACCTGCATCGCCAGGAGGGCTGCTGTGAGGCACACCCACTCTTCCCACATCCTGCAAGAGAAATTAGAATTTTAGAACTCGTATACTATGAAATTATTACTAAAACCACTTTCAACATCCTACATTTTTTATAGCAGAATGTCTTCTAGTATAATTTGTTAGTGTGCAGAATATTTTTTGTGATATATCGAATTCTGCGAGCTACAGAAATGAAAGCAGCAGGCTTTCCTGAGGCTTCGAAAACCAGCCGCTCCCGATCAACGGCAAAAAGAGCTCACGCGACTCTCCTAATTATATATAATTCACGCCAAACATTTCTCTATGACTTTTATACTTATTGTTTGATTTCATCAAGTTTATTCATATATTTTCAGTGATATGCAGGGTTTAAGAGCTTCAAACTTTGTACGAAATATAGTGCCCTGCTAAGCCATATTGCTGCACTCAGAACTTAAATACATGAATCCGACGCCGGGCAAGCGCGGTGGCGCCCGTCGGCTATCAACACCCCGTGTCGGAACTGCTGGTCTCTGGCAGCTCGCTTAGCAAGAGCTGCCCACTGCGCTCGGCCTTCACAAATTCCATTGATCCCGTGACAAAAATATAATTCTTAGCATTTAAATTCTAATAAACGAATATTTAATTAAGTAATTAAATTCAAATAAACTAAATTCGAATGTTTTTTTAAATATCACTTAAGTGAATTTTTTTCGTGGTTGATAATAAAAACAGTTTGCTTTTGCCCTCTTCCCGCAAGTTTCACATGACCAACTTTTAAATTTTCCCGCCACGTACTTGCTTCCCAACACAATTTCCCTCTTTTTCTACATCACGATTTTATACGAAAGTCTACGTTAAGCAATCATGAAGGAATTCCACTATTTTTCTCCATCACTATTCCAGAGGAAAGTGTACGATAGGCAATTATATATTAATTTCATTATTTTTCTGCATCATGATTCTATACGAAAGTTTACGTTAGGCAATCATAATGGAATTTCACTATTTTTCTGCAACCCGATTCTATACGAAAATTTACGTTAAGCAAACATGCGGTATAGATTACAGTGACTGCCTTCATGTCGGAGACTTGTGTGCAGGATCTAAAAGCGAACAAAGCGAGCCCACAGTTCTCTCTCGAGCAGCGACCGGGGTAATGTTTACCAAGGGTGTTGTACGTGCAAGACGAGGTTGTGGTATGCGTGCTATGCTCGACCATCAACACCCAGAGCTTCTCAAGCATAGTTTGGGCAAGCAGCCTTAGCTTGTGCTTGTATTGAAACAACTTTAGCGTTCGTAAGATAATCTATGGAGTGTTTTCTCGGGTGTTGCATCAGCCCTTGTTGTACACAACTGAGTAAACCAAGTTCTGGGCTCATGAGGAATGTGAGTCGCTTGCTGCTAAAGAAGTTTAATTAAAATTACAATAATGATAGAATGAAATCAATCATTAGATTTTTAGAATTTCACAAAAAAATTTTCATAGGTGGGTGAATAAATATGAGACGTAGAGTGAACATCGGTACAATGACATGACATATGATAGGCATTGTGTAGACAGATGGTACTGTAATATGACATATCTATGATATGATAAGATATGATAAGCGTGGAGAACACGTAGGGTACTACGATGTGATGGGTATGGGGTAGACATAGGGTATCGTGATATGATATATGGAATGATGGAAATAGATTAGGTATAAGGTATCAAGATATGATACAGTATGATAAGCATGGAGTAAAGATATGGGTACCAGTGGAATAATATACGAAATGATAGACATGGAAGAGACATTGTGTACCATGTAATGATGTACATAGGTAAATTTATGTAATTATAGTGCAATGTGAATGTGAAGTTCCATTAAGCAGTGAATGATATTGTATGACTCGGTTCAATTTAGATTTTTTAAACCTATAATACTTTGCATTAACATGTAATCCTTAACACTAATCCTTTCACATTAACGTGAAATCATTAAGTAACATCGAGAATCAGCAAGGCTCACAATGATGAAAATATCTTCATCATGACGCACTTTGAACCCTCGTCACGCATGCGGGTTCATTAAATTCAGTTCACGAGCGCAGGTTTGACATTACGAGAGCATTATTTATCTGTCGCCTCGCAACATCCTCAAGGTCACTTTATTCATCTATACTGTTTAATTTAAAGGTTATTTTCCTACAGAAAATATAACGGTTATTTAAAGTTCACATCAAATTTATTTAAATACATTAAATTGATAATATTTCGATATTGATAATATATCGAAATAATATTTAAAATAATATAATATTTAAAAAATAATATTGATAATATTTAAAATTGATAATTGATTTGATATTTCATTATTTCGTTGAAATTTAGCAATTATTTACTTAAGCTCATTTTTCCTTATGATTTGGCAGGCGCCACATACATGGCGCCAGCGGATGACTTATACACCAACATTGTCTGCTCCGACTCTCATTACACTCACAGAAATGAGTGGGTCTTTGTCTAAATACCGATGCACTTTGTGCCATTCAGTACATCATCTTAACCCAGTCTGTCACGGCAAAGAGGTGTATCAGTGTTACGTCCGATCTCTGTTTTAATGCTTTGTATAAGAACGTGCGTAATTATTTGGACAATAACCCATTTATTTTTTTTAGTGTAACGTGGCCCCACAGGAGCGCCATGCTGCTCTATATGACCCATAATACCCATAAACGCATCATGGGTCCGAGTAACTACCTTAACTTTACGACCTTACAAATTAGAACTTCAGCGGTGCCACTTACAGTGCATTCAAATCTCGAGCTATATAAATCCAAATGAATTGTGAACGCTGGTTTTATCTCGAGCGTATTACAACTATTATATTCTATTATAGGAAGGTCAAGACCAACTGGTATGCTACGGGCTTTGATCCTTTGAATTTGTATATATTAAATGTTCACAATACGAAACTTGTTCATAGTTGAAAAATTTGAGTGATTTTTCCTAACACGTTTAGAATTAGGCTGCATCATTTTAGACAAGAATTTTTCATTAAAAAGGTTCCGACTTCTGTTATATTTTAGGATATTTTTGGAGTTTGAGATAAAATGGTGCGCTGATGTAAATGGAATTTTTAAAATGCAATAATTTTTATACGAAATCACGCCATTAGCCACACTTAGTTAGGCGGAAGACATTGTGGTGGATCAAATTATATAGAATTTATGTAAAACAAATTCATACGAATTCCAATCAAATGAAACTGCTGGTGCTACTGCCTGGGTAGTTCTTCAAATGATGATTGATAAAAATTGATAATATGTTCATCGAAAATAGCCGAGGAAAACATGCTATTTCATGATAATAATGTAGGAGGCTCATATTTTAGGAACATCGATATTAATTTATATTGTCATCGCGTAGAGTCAACACGAAAAAATCACTAGCCACTCACATTTGTTAATAACAACAAAAAATTACCTTCCAATTAGAGTTTATGTTGTGTGTGCCTCTTCAAAATTCTGAAGATACACTTGGTTTCTCTGGAGCAAAATTGTACAATTTTTAAAGTACATTAACTGAAATCGACATTAATCTTTCAAGACAAATTATGTTTCTTTTTCACAAGAATTATTTCACGGCAGAAAATAATTTTCTGGTCCGTGATCGTTTATCAGGTAGTCTCTATTCACGTCACGTAACACTCATTCGTGATGAGACCATAATCCAGTAAAATCACGCCAGTGATATAAAAAGACGCAAAGTAATTTAAATTTTTCATCCTAGTGGCATTTCAGTGATGAATCAGTTCCGCAGGATAAGCTGCGTCCGACCCGCGCCAGTGCTAACTCTCGACTGCGCGCTTCGCAGTGCGCCGGTTAGAGGTTACCCTCTGTCATGGTTGCCAGATGGCAGCAAAGGGAAACGGCCAAATCCGAATCCGCTCCCCAAAAAATGCTAAAACCGGCCACAATTCAATAGTTTTGGGTACATTTGTAATTTACGGTGTAACAGTGCAGTTGTCAAGGTTTTCATACATAAAAAAAATTTTAAGGCTGACATAAACTTTTGTCGGCCAACGCAATGGAAAAAAGCCCAAACCGGTAAATTTGACCGGAAAAAGGCCCACCCTCGAAAGCAGGAGGGGCCACGGCACTTGCGTCAGACGCAGATGTTTTGGCAGCGCTGCATTGCATCTGAACGCTTGACAGTCGAGAGATAAGTTGCGATGCACGTTATAATTAGAATAACTCGCTAAGAATACTGACAGCTCAAGCAACCGCTTGGCACGTCAGAACTCTTCGCGAATAAACAGTAGTCTTTCCTTTAAATAGTTTATCAATATGAGATTGTGACCTTAGAAGAAGAATCAACAAATACTAAATTAGTGAATATAACACTGCGGAATCAGTGATTCCGTTAAGTTTACACGCTGACTGTCATTGATTCCTAATTTTGTTATCATTTTAAATTACTTGGAAATAATCTCCCTGCCTTAATATTAAATTCACTATTCTTTTATTTTCCTTGGAAAAGAATGCGAGTGATGAGATTTAAGAACGGCTATTCTAAACAGAATATTTATTATATGTGTGTATGTATCAGGTGAAAAATTTATTATCAAAAAACATAATTTTATCCCAGGTGTCTGATAACGAAAAATTCATTTCATGAAAAGATCGATCATGATATCATGATAGCTATTTTAAGTCATGCAGTTGTCATATTTATAGGTTAAACTCAATCCCATACAGCATTATGAGAGTACTGTGATGCACTGTATTTAATAACTTTTTAATAATTTAAAATCATGCTTGCATTGTTCATGAAAATAAATTTCAAAGTGTTATGGAAGATAAATATATTCTTCAAAACTATGTAGGTTTTAGTAATTTTCTTTTTCGATACTTCCAACATTTTTAGCTATTCTTCGTGAATCTATTTGAATAAAAATAACAGCAAGTTACTATTTTGATATACGAATAACATGAGGCTCATCTCACTCCAGACTGTCCAGAATCATTTATTACCTTAAAAACATATTTGAATCGAATCTGTGTGTCTATAACTTGTCTTTGACATATTGGAGCTAAGAGAAGTGATACCAAGCCTCGGCATATGGCATAAATTTACTGCAAAATCATATTTTTATTTAATAATGACATTTATTTGTTATCGCTTACGTTTTCTATAGACTTATAATTAATTTGTGCAACATGCGATGAACTAAAGCTAATTATTTATTGGAGCTCTTCATTGCCTAATGCTCAAGATCAAAAGGATCAATAAATATGAAAGAAACTGGTTCAATGTTTAACACGGAAGTCATTACATTGGCTTATCCTGGCAATAAATTATACGGTGTCTATTGAAGTGCAGATCTTCCGACAACATCCAATAAATTGCATCGTTTTGTAATCATGTTGGCCTTGTTCCGTTATCCTCTCACGACCTCATTTGTAGTTTTTAATGGCCGCGATAATCTCTTTAGGATTAATCTTGCATCACTTGGCGATGAAACGCACAAGGAACTACGATCCATTTAGTATTGCTGTACGGAATCTGTTTGTTTAATTTTATGAAAGACATACAGGTTAGTCATTGGGTCGTAAACCACCTAATTTAAAATCCTGATTTTCAATTCCTGCCACCCCGAATCTCGTCATCATGAATCCAGTCAATAAATGTTGTTAATAAAGAACGTTAATTAACGTACGGTCGGTTTTAACTCCGATTTAAGTCTTACTTTTATTTTCGTAAGAATTTGTTTTACATTTAATGTCTACATTACAATTAACATTTAATAAAGTAAAATTCTCATATCATTTTTTCAATCCAGCTCCAACCTGTTGAAGTTTTTCGACTATGCCGTTATAAATAAAATATGTATCGTGGCTATGTGTCCTAAAAGCTTCTATAAATATTCACATCAAAAGCTTCTATATATTCACATCAACAGGCCTCAAACAAGTACACAAACAAACTGTAGCCAATATATAATACACTTATAGAACCAGAGAACAGCTTCTCAAATTTACTCATCAAAGTCGCTGGAAGTTTGGTTCATTTATAATTGCATAATTCCAATAAATAATTTAAACATTTTTGTCGAAAGGTTTTGCGGTTACACTCGATGTAAACTTTCACAGAATTCGAGGAGTGCTGCAGGCGCTGCGTTACAAGATCGAGATACCAAAGGGGAAATTTACAGGGGGTTTGTTGAAACGTTGCGTGTTGCAACTTTTTCTGGTGCATGCATGCGACAACCTCAATTGAATTATTGTAAAACTGGTATTTTATTAAATTCTGAACAGTTCTGTTTGTTGCCAGGTCCGCTCTGCTCTCTGTAGTTAGGTTTGCTGTGCTTGTAAGTCACGCGGTTGAAAAATGTCTAAAAAGGTCTGATGAATCTTGAAGGTTTAACTCTTGTTTAGCTATAATCGAGAGTGTATATATGCATAATACATGTGTGTCATGTCGTTATCATGTGTATACTCATTATTAGGTTATTCCATCGCTAATGGTACAATCAATATTACAAAGCGGGTGGAAAATCCTGAAATTAAATTCTGAACTTATTAGGCTCTAATCTCATTTGAAATTGAACAATGAAATAATTTGATATGAATTTGAATCTCATTTAAAATGGGTAAATAATATAAGTTCAAGCTTCATTTGAACTGTTAATTTTACATATAATTTCTTATTAATGGAATCACGCTCGGTCAAACAGATCGGATTAATTTCCAGTGAGGAACGTCAACACTTAAACAATGAAACTAACTAATTCTATGTCTCATTACGACTATAAAGAAGAAAATCCGATTTAATCTTTCTTAGAACTTTGTTGTAAAAAATATTTGTTGGCTTTTCCAGCTATAAGTTATGGTTGCTCTATACGCCATCTTGCATTCAAATACATTATTTGGCCTGTTTTCGGCAATGTATGATTAATTCACGCGCTATTGCGCGAAATCCAAATTCACAGACATAGTTGTGTTATCAACTGCTATTTACAGTTAAAACGTTGGATCTTTGACAAGTACAACGTCATCATTTTTTAGTAAAAATGATTATTCTCTATTTCATCTATCTTGCACATGATCAAAAATGCTATTCAAAACTTATTTGAAATCCAGTAATACTGCGTGATTTGATTAAGGCAATAAACTATAAAAATAACATGAGCAAAATGCTGAGATGCGCCTTAAAAGATTTAGTAATGCTGCTTAATTAAATCTAGGCAAGATACTGCAAGAAAAAATCTGTGTAAATGCTGCGCGGCGCCTCATAAGAGGCTGACCATTGCTAGCTCTCTACCCGGATACCCCAACAAATCACACGTGTAGCTTCATAGGAATAACATGTATAATTAATACTGCTTGGGTTGATTGAGGTAAGATACCCCAAGAAATAACACATGGAAAGGCTATGGGTAGCTTCATAGGAATAACATATGTAATTAATACTGCTTGGTTTAATTAAGGCAAGATACCCCAAGAAATAACATGTGTAAATACTGAATGTCGCCTCATAAGAGGCTGTCCATTGTAGCCCGATACCCTGATACCCCAACAAATAACATGTGTAAATTCTTCATAGGAATAACATGTGTAATTAATTAATACTGCTTGATTTGACTAAGGCAAGATATCCCAAGAAATAACATGTGTAAATACTGAGTGTCGCCTCATAAGAGGCTGTCCATTGTGGCCCTCGGCCCAGATACCCCAACAAATAACATGTGTAAATTGTTCATAGGAATAACATTTGTAATTAATACTGCTTGATTTGACTTAGGCAAGATATCCCTGGAAATAACGTGTAAATACTGAGTGTCGCCTCATAAGAGGCTGTCCATTGTAGCCCGATACCCTGATACCCCAACAAATAACATGTGTAAATTGTTCATAGGAATAACATTTGTAATTAATACTGCTTGATTTGACTTAGGCAAGATATCCCAGGAAATAACATGTGTAAATACTGAATGTCGCTTCATAAGAGGCTGTCCATTGTGGCCCTCGGCCCTGACCCTGACGTGCCATACACCTGGTCGCTCCGCCGCCACACTGGCCGCAGAGAAAGGCAGTCCGTGGAGGACAGCTAAAATATTGCCTTTCGTCGCAATTCCTGCCATCAACGTCGTGTTGAAGTTCTAAGCTCAGCCACTCGAGAGTTAACTCTATTGTACGAAATTAATGGCGCTTGCCCACTTGCAGAACTCATGGTGAAGGACCCGTGGTGAAAATTTTTTATTTTCAAAGTAAGTTTCGATGTAATTTGCTTTTATATTTCTAGGGGCGGGATTATTGTCATTGCCGCACATGAGACTCGATATCTCACCTGTGCTACAAATATAAAATAAATTGAATTAACTTATTTACGTTTTTCCGATGACATATGTTACTCAAAATTATTTTTAATGCAAATCATTTCCTACAGCTACTTTAAGTATTAATTCTTGGAAGAATTTAGGCCTTATTTGTTCATTACCTCCTTCCTCTTATTTGTTTAACATGGCGACTTGGCCCGAACGCTGGACATGTGCTGAAAAAATAGCTCCTCATTCCTCCTACCTAAGAAACCTAATTATATATTTGCGCGAGACATTAAAATGGTCATGAAAAAATTTGTTAACACTGCGATTATTTTTACGATTTTATAACAGGGGTATTCAGGCAATGAAATCTTAGAATAAGCAGGATTCAGTTCGAAGGGTGAACAAGCTTAATGCGATATGTGATGAGTGAACAACTGGATATTCGAAGTGAAATCTGACTGATAACTAAACTAACATATTGATGGTTAATGTACGACCAACGTGAAGACATCCAGTAGA